ATTCGTCAACCTTGAAACTGACTATATACATGGCACCACCGTTTCACCCGCAGTCCATGATTCATAGAATTGAGTATTGTTAGGAAATTTTATTAAAATCTAATCCCCGGTGGTCCGATTTTGTGAAATTCTCATCATCTGACTACATTGTTTTCATAATGTTGAAACCTATGACTACCATTTCCTGCCACTATCGCAATTATGCCAGCCACAATAATAACAACTTTATCAATTCGGATTTTCGTGAACAAAAACTGCAATCGGAATTTGGACTTTCTAATGTGAAAGTACCCAAAAGAATGCAATTGAGCCAAAAAACGGTTTTAGTTACGATCTAACTTTATATCTTTACGACCACCGCTATAAATCATTTGAAACAACATCATTATCATGTTTACAAAAATAATTATCATCATCGTCGTCGTCATTATTGCACTGCGAATGAAATTCTGAATGACCTTTCAACGTACTTCTGTCTACCTCTTAGTAATCTTCTGGCAAACTCAACGCCAACTAAAAATGTCTGAGGTCTGTATTTTTTTGGGGTGACTCGTTTTTTAGCCAAAGGGGGGGAATTTCGTACGATATGGTGCCATTTGTGGGAGAAGTATGGGGTTTCCTACATCATTTAGGTATCAAAGTCTAAAAGATTTTTATTTTCAACATTTTTTCTGTTTTGCACTTAAACGAATCATTATTCAACGAAGGGAGAGATCTCTCTCTCTCTCTCCACCTATGAATCATGAATAAGTGCAGAAGAAAAGAGCATTGCAGTTTAAAATAAGCTCTTTTTATCAATTATTTATGACAGTGAGAGGAAATGTGTGTTTTTGAGTGGCTTCGATTGGCAATGTACCTTCTTATCGCCAGTTAACAACAGCCGCTGGGGTACAGTACGAGCATGAAAGTCATACTGAGAGAGAAAGTTAATTATAGGCCTGCAGCTATGAAATACAGAGTCCAATTTTTTTCGTGGAGAATTTATCATCCGACAATACACATAGGCGAAAAGTGTTGCCATATCTTAGGGACAATTTTGGATTTGGGGGTATTTTGTTTTTAATTGTGGGCCTCGCATGCAATATGTTAACAGGGCTTTTACAATGCTATGATAATCTAGTCACTTTCCCAGAGTATGAAATTTCTCAACATTGGCTATACACCATTTTAAAATAGGGTTTGCAGTTTCTCTGAGTTTTTTCAGAAATGGAGGCTCGATTTTTCTCATCAGATCTAGTTCCGAATGAGTACAATCATCTGTGAGGATATGTTATGAGAAAATTCTCAGATCAACAGATCTTCTCTACGAAAAACTGTACACAGATTTTCTCTAAGAAGAAGAGCAATTAATCTGTGATAAGGCTTCAGATAGTCTTCGAGAAAATCCGAAGTTTTTGGAAACTTGTAGCAAAAGGCTTCGAAAAGTACTAAAAATTAATAATTGGAAACGGAATGAGCTAGAATTCTGAAATTTGGAATGAGAGTCACTGATAGGGTGCAGAATAGATATACCAAAGGGTTTTTGAAAATTCGAAAATTAAAAAATTTTTGGAAACTCGTAGTAAAAGGTTTCGAAAAGTACTAAACTGTACTAAAAATTTAAAAATTGGACGGAAACGGAATGAGCTGGAATTCAGAAATTTGGAATGAGAGTCGCTGATAGGGTGCAGAATAGATATACCAGAGGGTTTTTGAAAATTCGAAAATAAAGGTTACGAAAAATCCCAAAATGGTACTAAATTTCTTGGTACCATGTGAACGGATAGAGCTAGAAACTTCAATTTTTTATGAGAAGCAAGGTAAGTTTGAAATATGAAGATGGTTTTGGAAATTTGTACTAAGCGTGCGAATTGTACTAAATGGCACTAGATTTGTAACAATTCGTTGTAAAGTAAAGAGATGAAGCTGGAATCTTAAAATTCTGTCTTGGGGTCCCTTTTGGTAGTAGGTTTGTGATAATGAGGTGGTTTTTGTAAGGTACTAAATAGAAGTATTTATGGTACAATTAGAAATTAGGTAAAGAGATGGTGGTTGAAATCTAAAATTTGGTATTATGGTCGCTCTTCATGTGTAGCCTGGACATAAGCGGTGGTTTAGGAAGTGTGTATTATACATGTACATAAAATACTAAATGGTACAAAATTTGATATTGGGAGAACTGATAGAGATAAAATTTCGGAATTTGATATTTAGCTAACTGATGGTATCTGAGATTGAAATTTGGCAGAAATGCGTACCATATTTTTACGAAAAGTTGTAAATGGCATTAAGTTTGATTTTGGCTGAAGGGACACTATTGGTGTCTGTGGTTAAGACATGGAGGTGGTTTTGTAAATGTGCACTATAATTGGGTATTGGATGAAGAGATACGGTTAAAATCCGGAAATTTGATATGAATGGCACATATTCGTACGAAAAGTACTAAATAGTACTAAATTTCTGTTGGTATCTGGAATTGAGATAAATACTGTAATTGTACGAAATTTGGCAATGGGTGAAGGAATAGAGTTGATATTTTGAAATTTGATTCAGATGTCACAATTGCTGTCTGTGTTTAATATAAGATGGTTGTTTTGGAAATGTGTACCATAATTGTTCAAGAAGTACAAATAGTACTAACTTTTTGAGTGAAGGAGTTGAGATGTAATAATCAAATTTTATATCCAGGTCTTTTTTGATATCTGTATTTGAGATTTGGGTAAAGAAACCATATTTATATAAAAGTATCGGAATTCACTCGTAATCCACTTTAACCTACAACTATCAGTAAGACCGTATGGGTAATGCTAATACTAATTTTTAGTCAAATCCGTCGAAAAATGTGTGTATCATTAAAATACTGAATATCCGGAGGTACCATTATGTGGGGGCTATACGAAAACGGGGATCTATACATACTACGTTCCGCCACAGGAGCTAGAACCCATTACGAATAATAAATACCAATTTTTTTTATAAATCCGAGGAAAAATGTGGCAAAAATCATCCAAATACCGAATATCGGGAGGTACCATTATATGGCGGCTATTTCAACACGTGAACCGATATATCCCATTTTCAATACCAACTATACGCAATACAGATTATTCTGACAAATTTGTCAAGCTCTACACCAAATAATGTGAGCCGTATCGTAACTTTAACAGACAGACAGATGGACATCGTTAAATCGATCAGGGTGAGATAAAAAGAAACTGGAACAAAGTCCAACGCCATAATTCTTACATTTTTTAAAATCTTATTGAATGAAAGCAAAAAATGTCGGAAATAGCATTAAAATTTAAATTAAGTTTAGATTTGTTCGAATTGGTCCCCTTTTGGCACGAATTATGAAATTTAAACGGCCAATGAAACCGTCACACGTTGCCCGAATGTTGCTCTGCGATATTTTGGCCCGTTTTCGGCGAAGCTCTTGCTTAAAGTGATCGACACTTTGGTATTTTTTAGTGCCAACCTTGCTGTCCAAAATACTCCAGACAGAATAGTCCAACGGATTGGTATCCGGAAATTTTGGTGGTCATTGTGCGCTGGAAATGAAGCGAGGAACCTGATTTTGAAATCATTCTTGGGTGGCGCGTGCTGAGTGAGATGCTGCTGAATCCTATTTGAATGTCCAAGGTCTGCGGCCAAAATGTTTGAGTGCCCAAGGCTTTAATACACCCTCCAGAATATTTTCGCGATAATATGTGGCACTAATTCTAATGCCAGGTTCGATTAATACGAATGGAGAGCGACCATCGGCTGTTATGGTGGCCCACACCATCACCATGGCCGGCGCTTGAGTTCTGGTGGCCAACCGAAAGTGCACATTTTCAGCTGACCTCTTTGGCAAGTAAACACGATCATTTTGTTTGCTTAGAAACTGCTGGACAACGAATGTTTTCTCATCGGAGAAAACCAAATTCCGCAGTTCACCACTTTCGGATAAGCGAAGCAACTCTTTAGCTCTTTTGAGTCTTTCTGTTCAATGACTTTGCCCTGAACTCACTTTTCAATATTTTCCGAATGGAATATTGCGATATGTTCAGCCACTGCGAAGCGGGTTTCGATCGAGTCGCTTCTTTACTTTTCGAACCATTTCTGCTGATGTTGCTGTTTTCTTCCGTCCACTTCCTTGATGTCGGGCTACGCTACCAGTATTACGGTAAAGAGCGATGCTACGAGACATAAGAGATTTTTTCACATTTAAATGCAAGAGTGCTCTACCGATAGACACTTGTGATTTTCCAGCCAAATATAAAGAAATCACACTATAACGCTTGAATTCCATCACGAATTACATTTTTTTCTGGAAAATTCTCAACAAAATGCTTTTGTACGCTTGTAATCAATATAATTAGCTGTCACTGCAATAATTTCAACAGTTGTCGGACGAGTGACTTGAAAATGGCAGCAGTCTGAAGCTGATTGTGGTTTTTTCTTCTTACCCTTTATATACTTTATGGGGTCTACGAATTACAAAAGGAATATTACAAAAGGAATGCTAAAGTTAATATACCCTCCTTTTTAAGATGGAGGGTATAAAAGGCTTTACACGAAGTGGTAGAACGAATAAAAAATTTAAAGTTGGACCTTTCGCTAACGATGTGGCGGTCACTTGCTTGTCTATGGTCTGTTCCAGAACTGCAGGAACGTAAAAGTTTTTACTACGATAACCGATTTTCCCTTTATGATATCGAAAAAAATTGCAAAATTGGTAGATTCTTGCAGGTTCTGTAAAAGAGCAATAGTGTAGCACACTTCTAAAAATGTTCGAATCCCATTTGGGAATAAGAAGTGGCAACACTCACTGTTTTTTTTTTTGTAGTTGTTTTGGAATAAACGCAACGACTCACATACAAAACGATGATTAACCAACAGCCCATGGCGCTGATTAAGAGAGTCCAACTGAGCGAAGTACACGCCATCGTAGAAGATAAGCGTGTACTGTGGACTGTGTCTTTTTTGGTTTCTGAGCAAATGAGTCGGAATAAAAATACAAAAACCGATCGATTTACACTCAGTTTCATATTCAGAGCGAACATCAGCAGACAAGCGAACATAGCCAACTTGAGTTCATTTTCATATAATATCCGCGGAACCAGTTTCACAGCAAGTCAGACACATAGTGTACGCGCTAAAGAGAGGATATAAACGTTAATTGGACGGATTATAAGAAACGGAGTTTTTTTTGTCATTTAAGAAGAAATTCTATAATCTTTTGAAAAAAAGAAAGAAACAAAGAAGAAGAAAGAAGTGATCAAAAAACAAACAACAAAAATATTGCTTTTGAGAAAGTAATTGAAAAAAAAAACAGAAAAGTGAAATAATTTGTAAAAAAGAGATTTTACAAATAAAAGAAGTCAAACTAAATTTGAAAAAAAATCCAAAATTATATCAAGAACAACTTAAAAAAATACCACATAAAATGGAAAGTGTAGAAAATAAAGCAGCCACCGGAAATGGCAACTCTGCCGCCGTTGTGGAGACAAAAGATACCCAAAATCTTCTGCCACATTTGGAGTCATTGGAACGTATTATCAAATTGCCAGTTGTTGGTGCTGCCTGGGATAAATCACAAGATGTCTATGGCAAAGTTAAAGGTAGGTTAAAGAGGAGAAGAAGAAAAAAAAAAAAGAAACTCCACTCGTTTGTAGCCAAAGAGAGAAAAACTAGACAAAACGACCTCAAATGGCTGGCTGGCAGGCAATATTGCTTTAGCTCAGTAACATCGTCATCGGTGTTAGAAAGAAACTTCAGCGGCGGCCATTAACAACTACAACAATGTAACTTGTGAAGTTCAATGAACCCCTTGGCAATATGTTTTCTAGCTCGGACAGACCTTGAGTGATTCTAGAGAACGAAGCAAAAAATACTGCGAAATGAATACAATAACAACAACAAGAGTATAAATAAATGTCAGTTGCATTATGTAAAAACCGAAAAAATTGTTGTAAACAACTGTCATTGTTGTTGTTGTAAATTTTGCATATGTATGCAGATAGGCTGGTATATGCAAATTAACCGTAATTATTATTTCGTGTAGTCTCCTCAACACACATGTTGGCCAGAGTTTCTGTGGCCAAGACATGAGACGTTACTTTGAAGTGAAGCCATATTTTTGTAGGTCGACATACGGTCTGAAAAAGTTTATGGCATATCGTGTTTTTTTTTTTTTGATATTCTATGGCAATAAGAGGCAGGTATTTTGAGTTAAATCAACAAATTTGTCAGTAATTGGAAGTGTCTACCATATATTGGGAAAAAATCTTCGTTTTTGGTAGTATCGCAAAAAAAAATTTTGGTCGGAAAATTTTGATGTGCTTTTCTGAGTTCCAAAAATCTACAGTGCCTAAAAAATCGCCAAAATTTGGGTATTTCGTTACTTAAGCGATGTTTGAGAGGGGAATTTGTTGTACACCTCCATCATTTCCAATGTTCTATTAATTTCTAATATTTTGGTGTACATTCCTGCATCCTGGAATTTTTGGAAGAATTCGAACAATTTTTTTTTTTGGTATGAAATTTTTAATTGCATTGAAGTTGTTTTTTTTTTGCTGGCGAAAATTGTTTTTAATGTTTAACTTCGATTTGAAGTTTTCAAAAGTTTACGTCGTTCATGAGGCATTAAAAATCCCTACAATTTGGGTATTTTTTTACTTCAGCGATGTTTGAGAGGAAAACATGTTGCCTTCCTTCATCATTTCCAACAATTATTCGTTGAAAAACAGCTCTAGTATTTTGGTATATATTAGAGCAACTTGGAATTTTTGGTAAATTTCGCCCAAAAAAATTTTTTTGGTCGGAAAATTTATATTGTTTTTAAATTTAGTTTTTTTTTTTATTCTTAAAGAAAATGTCTGAAATTCTTAACTTCGATTTGATGTTTTCGAAAAAATCCAACGTTTTAAGACGCCTTAAAACTACCCAAAATTTGGAGATTTCGAAATCTGTAACAACAAATTGCTGGACTCTCCAATCTGTTCACCTATTTTGCATTGTCTGATTGCAGTCACGTCGACTAGAAAAGTGGCTTAGGCCATTAAAAAAAAATAATATATAAATAAAATAAATTGGCCGGAACCGCAGTGTGGGCCTTTTGGCTATACGGATTTGGTAACTGCTTCACCCGGACACTTTTGGCCCATTGTGTTCATCCTAGGAAAAAATGTAAAATTTTAGGGTTCGTAGAGATATAGAAATGAGAAAGAGAAGGAAAAAATTGTAGACATAAGTTTAATTAGGAGGGTGGTCGGGCCTAGTCTGGGAATGCCTTTACAAAATTGTAAATGATAAACGTTAGAGTTCCTATCTTCCACCTTCCTTCCTTAGGCTATGTGTAGTTTTTTATACCCTACACCACATAGTGGTAAGGGTATTATGTTTTGTGCATTTGTTTGTAACATGAAGAAGGAAGCAAGATAGACCCATAGTTACTTTTGAGAATCTCCATAGAATCACTTTCTGAGTTGATTTATGCATGTCAGTCCGTCCGCCCGTCTGTCCATGTATTCTTGTGAACAAAATGCAGGTCGCATTTATTATCCGATTGAGATGAAATTTTCCAAAAAACATTTGTTTGGCCCAAGGAGATTGGAGATAATCGGTAAAAAATTAGATATAGCTCCCATATATATCTTCGTCCGATTTGCCTTTTATTGTGCACCAAACGTGTAATATCAGCCCGAATAGTATGGAATTTTGCACATACAACCAGATTAGGCCTGAAAATAATTATGCCAAATTTGGTCGAAATCAGTTCAGATATAGCTATAACTCCAATATATTTTTCATCCGATTTGTTATTTTTGTCCTCCGCAGCCGTAATATGCACTCTGTAACAACAATATTTGGGGAAATATATCAAATGCAGCTCAGAAATACCTTTGCTAAATTTTATCGAGATCGGTTCAGATTTGGATATAGCTCCCATATATAACTTCGTCCGATTTACTGTTTATTGTGCACCAAACGTCTAATATTTGCCCAAATGGGATGAAATTTGGCACATACGACCGAATTGAGTCTAGATGCTAGTATGTCAAATTTGGTAAATATCGGTTCAGATAAAGCTATAGCTCCCATATATATTGTTCATCCGATTTGTTGTATTTGTTACCCACAGCCGTAATATGCACTCCGTGCCAACGATATTCAGGGAAATATATCAAATACAGCTCAGAAATATCTTTGCCAAATTTTATCGAGATCGGTTCAGATTTGGATATAGCTCCCATATATATTTTTATCCGGTTTCAAATTAAAAATTTTAATTGTTATGTGAAGCTCTACTAAATTAGCAAAGTGGTGTAGGGTAGGGTATAGGACTTTCTTTACTGTGTTTTTTTTTTTTTTTTTTTTTTTGATAACATGGAATAGCGTGCTACAACTGCCAAGTTTGATAACACAGGACATCTGAAAAGTAGATGTTCAATTGACATATTCACATAGTATAGTGGCAGTGGTAAGGAACACTCTTGTCCCATATTGAGATCTGATGTCGAATACTGCAGTCAGTATGCCCACAGCGATTCTTAGATCAGACCTACGAAGTGGTTGAAGGTAGCTTATTTTTCTCCTCGAAATTACCAATCAGAGGGCCTCAGATACTCTTCGTCGTTTTTTAAGTCAGTCTTTCCCATTTCTCAAGCGAGTGTGTCGTTTAGAAATTGTTTAGCTTAGCTTTAATTTTTGCAATATTTCTTTTTCTAGAATAATTTCACAATTTACCTACAGCTGACCACACCCCATAGTCAGCTATGTCTAGTTTTACGGAGAACAAAAAAAAAAAAAATATGGTTATTATTGGTAAATTGAGGTTCATTGTAAAAAAGTGCCAAACACAATGGCAATAGAAATTACATAGTTAACAACATTTCATACAAACTTAGAATCAGAGAATTTGCAAACGGCGAAATGAATGAATGAATGAAAAATACACCCAAGAATTTTTCTCACAATTTGTTGTTGTTGGTGTCTCGATTGTTGCCCCGTTATACCTCCAGTCTACAAATAATAATTGAAAACAATTAAATTTAATTGAAAATTTAAATTATCAACAAAATGTGTAGCACTCGAAAGAGGTGTAGAGAGAGAGAGAGAGAGAGGGGTTCAACAATTCAGTTCAACAATTTCTTTAAGCAGTCGTCAAGGGAGAATCGCTTGGGCATCTAAGAGAAGATTTCAATACAAACAAAAAAAATCAATAGAGTAAAGCGAAATATCTGAAATATTATCAATATTCAATAATAATAAATAATGTAAATGAATGACAGGGTGTGGACCAAAGAGGGGAAGAGTGGTAGGTAAATATGAGAAGAAAAAAACATCAATAATTGTTTGATTATTATTGATTCAATGACCCAGCAAGCAATGGACTGATCAACTTTTAATTTCAATAATTGATTTAAATTGATCAGAGGGGAAACTGGGAAATTTGCTGCTCAATTCGAGTAGGAAGAGGCCTCTGTTTGTATATGAGACACAAAAAAATTCAAAGTCCAAAATACATTGCATGGCGTTACTAAATTTTGAAAAGCCAAGTTTGCTACACTCGCAATTATGAAATTGCAATAATATATTTATAGATCCTCGACATCAATTGAAATTTCTTCTATTAGAATATTTTAGGTATTGGCATTTCAAAGGCTCTTTATTTCCATATTAAGGGTCTTAAAAAATATGTAATGATTATAAATGTAAAATTCATTTTGACAAAAAATTAAGATAGGGAAATATTCAACTAAATATTGAACTACCCGAATTTTTGTAGCCCAAAAAAAAAAACAATCATTTACTCTTCCCTGGCTATTGTTATGCAGCGAACAATAAAAAATTAATATATCACAAAAATGACGTAGATGGGTATTTCGCATTTCCAAACAGATAGCGGATTGTATTTTGAAAACAAATAAGACACACATACTTATTTCCTATTATATAAACAATAACAAAAAATACCTCCAGTTATCAACAACATGCTGATGATAATAATAATGATCATCATCAGCGCCATCACCTGTTATTTTTTTTTTTTTTTTTTTGGTGCTTTATTAATTTTTTGGCACAAAGTCCAAAGTAATTTACATAAATACCTCAATCATACCGAAAAAAAAATATTATGAGAAAAAGAGACAACAACAGTGTTCGGCTCAATTTGCGGGAAGATAAATGAAAAATGTATTCCGCAAAAAAAATGTATAATAGGTTATTGTGGCACGAAATGAATTATTAATGCATAGCTCGTTTTCGGAATTAAGAACTAAGTTTATATTTAACAGTTATTTAATTCCGGCAGTAACACATGCCCGAATTCTGTTTTTTTTTTTTTTTTTTTGGTTGTGTGACATTGAAAGGTGTTTGTTTTGAAGAGAAAGATTGCAAATGGGAACAAAAAAAAAACAAGCACTATTTTAAAATTAATTTAATTCTTTGGTATTAAATTTCTACGAATAAACCAGAGCTAAGATGGGAAGCTACTCTGTTATAACAAATATAAATAAATTCGGATTGTCTTACAATTGGGTTGCAATGTCCTACCAAGCTCAATATATAACACTGGACAACCTATTTCAAACTTGAGCTCCAAAAAAACTCAGCCGAA